ATTATTTTATGATTATCCACTGCTGTGTCAGTTACTGCGACGCTGGACCTATTTTTACATATTCGTTCATCTCGTCTAGGCAGAATCCCTTCATCCCAAAGCAGTGTATATCTAGTGCAGCACTAGAGGTAAGCCGGCCGGTATAGTTCGATTTCTGGTCTACCTTCAGATTCATGTTTTATTTCGACGATTTCCCGAATATACCCACCCGCCTTGCATAATTTCTAGATGATCCCTGTCTGCCGGGCAGAATTTCGACTGCTTTTCTGGTGTATCGATAGCCCCTCTTTTCAATAAAAATTCCAGCAGTCGTTTGCTGCGTGCGCGCCCCTTCCGAATTCACGGTTGGGAATTTCCTTAGCTTGCGCTTATCTGTAGCACTGGCAGCAGCGTTCACCGGCGGGAAGTGGGAGATTGTCTCTTTCATCGTTGGGATACGATTTCTGACCAGTTGTGGTGATCTTACATATAACAATTCAGTGATTGGACAGTCCGACCATCGTGTCCGGTGAAGTCCACCATATGCCACACAGCAATGTGATGCAGCGACGGTAATTAGTGCGTGAATTAGATTATAGTTAGAGTAGACTTGCGATACATCTACCGGAGGCGAGAGAGAGAGTGTGTGTAGCGGTCTAAGTCTTGGGTGTACTCGGATCACTACAATCATCAGGTCGAATCTCAGGTAGAAAGTAAAAGGCAGAAGTCACCTGTGAGAGAGATTTATTGTGTACAGAACTCCCTGCTGCTGTTTCAGGCGGCAGTGACCACTGGCGAAGCCAAGGCTAGTGTTGACTGCGTCCAGCCAGACCTGAGATAGAATGAGGCAGTGGTGGCAGCTGCTTAAGTACGAATGCGGAGCAGGTTCAAGTGTTGTGTTATTAGTGTGTTGCAATTGCCCGAGGGGGTGTCGCCTGCAAACGTCTTTGCTGCATCGACCGAGGGGTGGTATTCAAGTGGCCCTTGGGTAGGCGTGCTTATTTGGACGCACGTGTATACGCGGGCGTGTGCGCACCTGTTTACGTGACTGAATAAGCTTAGGTCAACTGTGGGGACCACCGGAATGTCGCTAGGCAGGGGATGCTGACGCAGCTGTTATCGGTTAGTCGGAAGCAGCTGCGAAGTCAAGCC